TCATTGTCCAGCTCTCTGATGCATAACAAGTGATTGCAAAGACCATGGCCTGTATCAGATGCACCTTAGTCTCTAGAGTGACACCGTTGCTTTTGAGTACTTTGGAGAGGTTCCTAACAGCAGACTTTCCCATGGCAATATGTCTTTTAATTTCCTGTCTGCTGGTGCCAAGAGTGTTGATTGTGGAGCCAAGCAGACTAAAGCTGTGAACAATCTCAATCTCTTCACCATCCATCCTGATGCTGACAATTGATCCAGTGGTGAGAATCTTTGTCTTCTTGACATTGAGCTTCAATCCATATTGAAGGCTGCAGTCCCTGACCCTCAGCGGCAAGTGCTTCAAGTCCTCAGTTTCAGCAAGCAGGGTTGTGTCATCTGCATAACGCAGATTGTTGATAGATCTTCCACCAATTCTGATGCCACATTTCTCCTCACAGAGCCCACCCTCCCGGATGATCTGTTCTGCATACAGGTTGAAAAGGTATGGAGACAGGACACATCCCTGGCGTACGCCCTTCCCAGTTTTGAACCATACAGTGTTTTCTTGCTCTGTTCTGACGACTGCCTCTTGGTCCAAGTAAAAGTTTCACATTAGCACGATCAAGTGTTCTGGGATTCCCATTCTTCTCAGAGTCAGCCACAGTTCCTTATGGTCCACACAGTCAAAAGCCTTTGCATAATCAATGAAGTACAGATAGACATTCCTCTGGTACTCCCTGCTTTCAGCCAATATTCATCTGACATTAGCTACAATATCCCTAGTACCATGACCCATTCTAAACCCAGCCTGGACTTCTGGCAGTTCTCTGCTGATGTGCTGTTCCAGTCGTTTTTGGATAATCTTCAGCAGAATCTTGCTTGCATGTGAAATCAATATTGTTCTATAGTTTCCACACTCTGTTGGGTCACCTTTCTTTGGAATGGGAACAAACATAGATCTTTTCCAGTTAGTTGGCCAAGTGGTTGTTCTCCAGATTTCTTGACACAACTTGGTGAACAAGTCCAGGGCAGCATCTGTTAGCTGAAATACATCAATTGGTATATAAATATTGGGGAGGATGTGGTGAGAAAGGAACTCTTATACAGTGTTGGTGGGATTGTAAAATGGAATAACCATTCTGGAATGCAGTTTGGCGCTTCCTCAACAAGCTGAATATAGAAGAGGATACATTTTAAGCGTTCTTGAAAGGAATCGAGATTCTTACACTAAATGACTGCTTCCTAGAGATGCCAATAGGGTATTGATGAAGTAAAATATGACACGTGGATATGTTGTTGTACAATATTGAGTTGGAACTGACTCATAGCTGACCCTCTAGAGGGTTTTTAAAAGCAATAATATCATGGAAGAAGATTGTCCATCTTGTCCAAGCAGCTGATGGATTCAAATGGTGCAGCACACCTCCTTATCACTAGGTCATCCTAGCTCTCTAGTCAAACTGTAATTAGGGGTTAGAGCTGACATTGGTCTTCTTGTCAGCCTTCTCCTACCTGAATTCTACCTCTGGAAGCCAAAAGGAAAACCTGTCTTGGGAGGAAATGAGTCAAAGTGCTCCTTAGTAGGAAGGATGGTGAGACTTGCTCTTACACTCTTTGCACATTGTTATCAAGAGGGGGACACTCTGAGGAAGGGCATCCCGCTTGGACAAAAGTGGAGGACTCAGTGGAAGGGAAGGTTCTCAACGAGATGTATTGATACAGTGATGGCAACAGTGGGCTTTAGCAAAACAAACTGTGAGGATGGAGCAGTGATGGGGCAGAATTTCATTCTGTTATAATACAGTTGCTATGATTAGGGGCCAACTTCACAGCACCTAACCACCACCACCTGAATCCTAGTTTTAATCCTTCTCTTTGGACTCATTTTTAAAGGCAAGGGTCTGTGGAGGAATAATGAACTTTAATTGATGAAAGTTTCTTCCTTTCTATTTTATGGGGAGATCTGGGTGCAGTTCTGAATTGCAATCCAGTCTCTGCAGTTCTTTGGCGACTCTGCTGTTTTGCTAAACAGGAGCTCTTAGAGCAAAACGGCTTAACTATTTGGACCTAGGACATATTTTAAGAACACTCATGCTTGGCAAAGGGCCTTGAACTGCTACTGCTTAGCAATTCACCAGATAAAATAAGTCCTCAATCCCTGCTAGCTGCAATTTATGGACCTCAAAATTTTTCAATAATTAATATAAAGAAAAAAGAGATTGAATGTCATTCTTTTGGGTTTTCAATCAAATTAGCAATTTATATATTATGAGCTATTTCATTCCAAACGTTACACAGTCCAAAATGTTGCTGCAAAAGTAATCATCAAATGTGTTCCCAGTCCACATTTACTTACCTGTAAGAGGAAGCTTAATAAGATGAAATTCAGAACAAATTTTTATTATAGCCTAAAACTATTTTGTTTCTAACCAGGAAACTCAGATGTACACTGGATTCAGATCTTTTAAAATACGAATGAATCACTCGGAAAGTGAGTATTTATGGTTAAACTAACATTTTAAAGTCATTAATAACTCATGCTTTTGCATAAATAATATTATAACTGACAGTGTTTCAGAAGCAAGTGGATAGAGAAAATCACATTCTCCTGAACCATCAGAAAAATTTCAAATGAATTATTGAAATGCCTATTTCCTCTTGAAAACAATAGGTATATTTTTATAGTTTGTTTCAATATTTTAAAATGTTAATAAAAAATATGCCATGCACGCATATGTAATTATATTGTATTCCTTATCTTGTAATGACTTTCTTTGAGAAAATAAAACAGACTCCTTAGCAGCAGGCTTTTGCTCTTGGACAACTCCACAATCACTTAATTGTCCACATTCTGGCCAAATCCTCCACACTGGCAGGAGGGAACTGGGAGGGAACTTCCCCTGGTGCTCTCTCTGGCCTGGCTGGAACCTTTCCATCGTGGGCAGAGTTATGTCAGATGGTTTTAGCTTTCTACCTATGAAGTCTAATAAATAGAGGGCTCAAAATACAGAACTGTACCTTATCTATCCCTAAATTAAAGATCCTTGTTGGAGTTTTAATCTACAATTGACAAAAGGCATTTATTGTTATTATTATTTTAAAAATTCAGCTGCTGAAGGGGCAGGAAATCTTCCAATAGAAGATGCTCGGTTTCTATCCTTGGCCCTGGCCTCCATTTTGATTGTTTGGTGTTTTTTCCTTCTCTGCTATTGTTCTCCTAGTCAGGTGAGCTCAGAACAGGCTCCTCTCAGAGAGCAAAGGAGAGGGAGTGGCCACTATGCTGCAGGAACCTGGAGTTTAGGGGGGATCAGCCTCCCCTCAGCTCTGGTCCTCCTCTGAGAGGCTGTCCTTCAGTGCCTGTAGACAGAGGCTCTGGGACCCCCCGTGGTCCTGGGCTTCCTGGTAGTGCTCTGCCCCTGGGAATCAGTGTCATCTTCTCTGCCTCTTACTTGCCAACCTCCTCTCCTGAGGGCACTCCCAGGCCCAAGTTTCCTGTGTGTTTCAACCTTGTCTGTCCAAACTAGCTGGCTGCGTTTAAGGTTTGTTTCTGAAAAGCCCAGTCTATCCAAGATTACTCTTAAGAATGGATACTTAAAATCCTCTCAATGAACTTTCTTGAACAATTGATTTGGGTAGTTGTCTGCTGAAAGGCCAATGTTCTTCACCTTTCTTGGTTTTTAAAATTTGCTTTCATGAAAATAAGAACTGCAACTGGAGGGCAAAAAGCACATTTCAGCAAGACATAAAAGGACAATTTATTCCCATGTTGGCTATGGAGAATGCTCCCCAAAGTCTATAAACAGGTCCTGGTTCTTAGTTCTAATTAATTAACTTTATTAACTTGCAGCTGAAAGGAGGTGGAAACTTAAACAAGGAAATAAAAATCAGTGGGCCTCATCAGACTAGTTGATATAACTGCTTTTTAACTGAAGGTAAAAGAGCAGTCACTTACTTATTATAAGTAATAAAACAAGAGAGATGTTTAGACCAATAGCAGCAGTCTATCGTCACTTCATCCAGAGTACACAAATTAAATGAAATAAGTATAACAAAATTTTTTCCATTTAGTGCAAGTAGCAAGTTTATTTTATTTGATACAGAATGAAAAGAGCAATGATGCCCTGATGAGGTACAACAGCAGCATCCGCAAACTTTCCTTGAAAGATGAATTAAGATCTTTGCTAAAGTTACTGATTGTCAGATGAAAGAAACTGCAATTCTAAGTATACTAATTTAAAAAAAAATCAAGAAATCTGTTACCTAGGAATGTCAAAATAGCTATTCTATTTGAGCATCAACATTACTAGATGGGGGAATATGCTCTCTTGGTTAGATGGAAAGTTTCAGCAGCATTTTAATACCATGTAGATCAATTTTACACAAAAGTCTTGCATTTTGTTAACAGAGAGCACATATTCCTATTACATCATTCTTGGAAAGGTGTTAAACTGCCTTATAGTTCCCGACAGGATCTAATTACTAAAGATTCAACAATGATAACAATGAGAGTACCAGTATTTGCTCATCTATTCAGTTACGTGGTTTTGATACTATGCTATAGACCTTGAGTAAGGAGAAATTCAAGCTTATATAAATACCGTATATGTGATATACCTAGATATGTACCAAGATGTGAGGGTGATGATTTGACATTCATTAATGCTCAAAATAGCCAAGTTAAAAAAATACAGTGACTTAGACGCTATTTTCTTGAGGACACATTGTGGAACACATGGCCACCTACCTGCTCTCCAAAGCATTATGTATAATTTAACCACCAAATATAGAACAGATGAATGTCAGGAGACAAAAACAGCATTAAAGCCCATTACATTCTTCAATAACTCAAAGCCTCAAGTACATAGAAAAAGCAGTGCAATCACATAGTTAGCTTTATATTTCTAATATATATCATAATTTAAAACTATATAAAGTCACTTATATAAAAGCAATTTTTTTTCAAGTGTTATAGCTCAGAGCATGGATTTCTATTTGGCTTAATCATTTTTTACCAGTTTAATTTATAAAGCTCGTAATCTTGCCAGCAGGGCTTCAACTTCAGGAACTGATTCGTTTTTCGAAACACTGCCAACAAGTTCCATTTCCTTTTTTCTGCTGCCTTCTGCATTACAGGCTTCCTTCTTCTCCACTGCCTTGATCTTCCCTGTAGACGGGCAAGTGTCTAGATTATAATTAAGCTCCTTGGCGACTGGAGTCTTTGTTGAGTTGCAATTGATATTGTGGTGTGAGCGTGACCCTTCCGTCAATGGCACTTTCTGCTTTTCTACAGTGAAGAAGAAACAGAAAAGTGACCACTGTGACAGCTAAGACAGTGAACATTTACGGAACAAACATCAAACAATTATCCTCAATGAACAAGTTCTCTTAGACTCAACTAAAACAGTTTAAAAGCAATATATTACAGGGCATTATGATTATCATAAGTGTCTGGATTGAAGTTTGCAGAGTGGGGTATACTCGGGGTAGGGATGAGGGTGTGCGGGGGGATTGTATACCAATGAAGGAATTTTTCTTTTACTTTTCAAAGACAAGGGTGACCTGGGGGTAGCGGGTGGGTGGGCAGGGAGAAAAGTACAACAATGAATGAATGGAAATCCAAAATCTCTGTAAATGTTCATTAAAATTAATAATAAACCTCCCCCCCACAAAACATTGCTATATTCAACTGGGCAAGACAGATTTCAAATAAACATGTAGAGGTAAAGTATAAATGAAAATGTAATCAACAACCACACCATTAGAATTAATTTTCCTCTTCTTCTTTTACACCTGAAATGCCCACCCCTGGGTTACTGTCAGGACTTGATCCTGTATTTCATGCTGATCTCTGTTCCAATGCCGTCTAAGTGGAGAAGCCTTTACTAGCCATCTCATACCACACTCCTTTTCATCATTCTCTATCTCTTAAACCCTCATCTTCTTCCCAGAACTCATGACCACTAGCCATCATAGATTCCTTGCCATACCCATTGCCTAGGGAGCCCTGACGGTGCAGTCCCTAAGGAGTTGTGCTGTTAGCTCCAAGGTGACACCTGTCTGGTGGTTCAAATCTACCAGTAGCTCCCTAAAAGGATGATGGGCAATCTCTTCCCAGATGACTTGCTGTTGTGCACTATCAAGTTGGAACTGACCCGTCGCTGGTCCTCCAGCACGTTTTCAGAGGCAGTCAATCAAATGGGAGGAGAATGTCCATCCTTCTTCTGTGGAGCAGCTGGAAGATTCGAACCGCATACCTTTGTGTTGGCAGTGCAATTCTTTACCACTACACTTTGTGATTTAGAGTCTCTAAAAACTTGAGGCAGGGTCAGTAATGAGTTGATTCCGACTGGGTAGAAATGCAGTGAGTAAGTTTATTGTCTAACTCTCAAGACTACCAACTTTGAAATAATGCTGCATCTTCAGAGCTTAGAACACTATTGGTGGAATGAATCCATCCTAACTCACGCAGGCCCCATGTGTGTCTCATGAGGCTTTCAATGGCTGAGTTTTCAGAATTTGGTCATCAGACTTTCCTTTGGAGTGACTCTGGGTGTAACTGAACTACGAATCTTTTGGTCAGCAACCAAGCATGTTTATCTTTTGTACCACCTATGCCCTCTCTGATGCTCAACAAATATGTGTTTGGTAAAGAAAGTATTTTTCTTTATTTTAATTAAGCCAAGGAGGAATGTTTCTTATAAGAATTTAATTTCTCTTAAATACTGACTTTAGCAGGTGGCAAAATTGTTAACCCTTCCTCAGACATGAGGATTATGTCATAATTTGTCAGATATAGATACTTATGTATGTACCTATAGCTGGATGTATACTCATAGTCACACAAATATTCTTTCTATGGTACGTGACAATGGCTGGAAGAAGAGAGCTGCAATAACTAACTAATGGTTAAAAGGCTCTGAGTGATTGACTTTCCCGAAGAGCACTAGATTTTTTGTTTCTTCTTAAATTAATTGACTCTCAAATGGTAAAATCTTAGGAGTGATCTCTCACATAGATCTCAAAGTTTTAAAAACAGACACCCTCAATATTCATGTAACCTTGAGCGGTGCTTGAAAATGGCTTCGACAAACTTGACATGACATTTAAAGTTTTTGGTTATTCGCTGAGAGATGTTCCATTATCCCAATAGTAATGACTCTGGAGCACAAGCAGTCACTCATGACAGTGTATTTTATGTGAGCGCTGAAAATTCCAGCTGAAAACAGCTTGTACATTAAAAGGTGGCTGCTGAAGATATTTACTGCACTGTCATTTCCTGGCCAGGGGCTTCCAGTGATGGATGAGTATTTTACACACTTTTGTGGACAATCTCAACAAATTTTAGAAGTATGATCACCTCTTAGCTGCTGGGAGAAAATAAATACACTCTTTCTATCACCTTCTTTATAAGGTGGGCAATTGTTACTCAAAAATCATAATCTAATAGAGCAGTGACTTTGTCTTGGAGTGGACTACACTCAACAGCTTATAACATACATACTACATTTGTGGGGAAAGAACACGCGGGGCATGGTAGCCTCAGAGCCTGCATGAATATCCATTTCCCCGATCACCACCCCTGCCTCAAAAAAACCCGTGTTTGCCATGAAGTGCAGATTTGCATCAGCTTTTTTCCCCCTCCTAGCTTTCTCATTATTAGGTTTCTGGTAGCCTATTGCATCATTTGACAGTATTGTCAACAAACTAGTTTATTCTGCTGCTGGGCAACTCCAGTGAAGTGTTTGGTGTGGGAGAAAAGGTTAAGTTGGCTAAAATATGGGCCTGGGTAATGTATCCAGGATAATACACGCCGCTCCTTGTATGGCATGTGCCAAGTTCCATTCTGTATGAGGCAACGAGGACAGAGGAGGGGATTTATTTCAAAGTAGACCTGGACTGAAACCCAAACCTCACAATTTGCTTTAACAAGTTACTTAAACTATTTGAGTCTCAAGTTCTTCAACTATAAAACTGGGATAATATTTTATAACATTGAAGAGTAGCTGTAAGAATGAAAGGAAATAATAATGTGGTGACACTTGGAGCCGCGTGCCTAGATACGTAAAGACACCTTTCCTTTCCTCCTTCTTCAAAGATTCCTCAGGGAAGCTTCTCCCACCCCAGACGAGGGCTTCAGATGCTCTGACCTCTCTGACTTGATAGTGACCATGACAGTGAGAGCTGGAGTGGAATTTTATTAATAGCCTGTATTTATGTAGCACCTTTATTTAGAAAGCATTTGCGGCACTTTGGACATTACCACCCTCAGCAAAGAGAGGTTACTGAGCCATTTGTTTCGACTTACTGAGTGAACCAGTGGCAGAGCAGGATACTGTCTCTAGAGAATCTGAGGCTGTCTTAAGGAAATTTGAAAAGCTTTTTGCCAAAGAAAAGTGCTAAGTAATTCAAAGCTAAGTTGAACGGTGATGCCCTGGACTTCTACTTCAAAATGCCTTCTGAAATGTTTCGTTCTCCTGATTACTCTGTAAAGCAGCAGTGCACCTCTGTAAACCACCTTAGCGCCGTATGGCCAAGGTCACTCACATGCTCCTTCTCTTTCTGAAATTCATGGTTATGAAGTTTGACCTTAATCCTACTCTACAGTTCCCTAGCCCATTCACCTCCTGTTCTCTGAGACAACTATTTCACACCTTTTCTTTTCCTTTCAAACCTCCAGTGCACCCTTCCTCATTTTCATTTAACTCGCTCACAGAAGCAGCCGGAACTCTCATGAGCTCCTACCCACATCTGCCACCTATCCACTACACACACAGACTCTTTTTCTCTCATTACACAGATCAACCTTCTGGGCTCCCTTCGGAAGGCGACCCCACAACACAAGTGCCAGACACCACTCTCTTTGTTCAAGGACATCACTCTGACAGTCAATGTGTTCTACTCCTTGTGCTCGTTCCCCTCAGCACATATGCACGTTCTAACAGTCCCGACCCTTGGTAAAAGAAGGTCTCCATGTGACCATGCACTTTGTTCTAGTTAACGGCTTCAACCCTTGGCCCACTTTATAGCCAAACACCTTAAAAGAATTGCCCAAGCTATAGTTGCAACTCCTCCCTTCCCATTTTTCTCCTGAACCCACAATCATACTTTTGACCATGACTCTCCCCCAAACATCCCTTGTCAAGGAGACTGAGGAACTAGGTGTTGCTAAAAGAGGATTGTATAGCCTGGATATCTTGGTCCCCCATCGTGTTGTTGTTGTTGTTAGGTGCTACGGAGTCGAGCACGACTCATAGCAACCCTACGAAGAAAAGATCTGAACCTAGTCTAGTCCTGCACCATCCTCACACTTCCTGACACACAACAGCCCATTCATTGCAGCAATCACCTTGTCAATCCACCTGGTTGAGGGTCTTCCTCTCCTTTGCCAGCTCTCCACTCTCCCTAATATTATGTCCCTCTCCAAGGAATAGCACCTCCTAGCCATATGTCCAAAGTATGTTAGGTGAAGTCTCATCATTCTTGCCTCCAAAGAACACTCAGGTTGCAACCTCTCCAATATATTTCTATTCATTTTCTTGGCCATCCATGGAATGTTCCGAGCTCTTCTCCAACACCACAGCTCAAAAGCATCAATTATTTTTCTCTCACCCTTATTCACTGTCCAGGTGTCAGATGCATAGATAGTAACCAGAAAGACCATGGCCTGAATCAGATGTACCTTAGTCCTCAAACTGACATCACTACTTCTCAATAATTTGGAGAAGTTCCTAACTGCAGATATTCCCAGTGCAATATTTCTCCTTATTTCCTGACTGCTTGTACCAAGGGTGTTAATTGTGGATCCAAGCAAGATAAAGTTGTTGACAGTTTCACTTTCCTCTCCACCCATCATGACACTGCATATTGGACCAGTTCTTGATCTATAACACATCCAAAGATGAAGTGACCAGCAAAGCTAGAATTTTCTTTCAGTGGTATTTGAAAATTGGGAACTTGGGTGAAAAGAATGGGCAAGTAATGCAAGTAAGACATCTGTCCTCTTTTAAGGAAGATTGAAAGAGCTGTAGGTTTACTTAGAGACGAATAGGAGGGGAGAATTTCGGTGGTCTTTTACTCCTCTGAGGTTTCAGGTGGCCAATCTGCCTGCCTTGAGAAGCACCAGGCCAAGATATTATAAAAGAGAAAGAGGCCATTCCTGAGACCACTGGAGAAATAAAAAGCAAAGTGTACCAGGGCTGCTGCAAGACGGAGTCCAGCTCTTGGCTGGAAATTCACAGGTAACAACTCTTCTCCCTGAGCCCTTATATATCTGGCTTACACAAC